AAACTAGAAATACCATTTGACCCAGCCATCCCATTACTGGATATATACCCAAAGGTTTATAAATCATGCTGCTATAAAGACACATGCACACGTATGTTTATTGCAGCACTATTCACAATAGCAAAGACTTGGAATCAACCCAAATGTCCATCAGTGACAGACTGGATTAAGAAAATGTGGCACATATACACCATGCAATACTATGCGGCCATAAAAAAGGATGAGTTCACATCCTTTGTAGGGACATGGATGCAGCTGGAAACCATCATTCTCAGCAAACTATCGCAAGAACAGAAAACCAAACACCACATGTTCTCACTCATAGGTGGGAATTGAACAATGAAATCAACTGGACACAGGAAGGGGAAATCATACACTGGGGCCTATTGTGGGGAGGGGTGAGAGGGGAGGGATAGCATTAGGAGATATACCTAATGTAAATGACGAGTTAATGGGTGCAGCAGACCAACATGGCACATGTATACATATGTAACAAACCTGCACGTTCTGCACATGTACCTAGAACTTAAAGTACAATAATAAAAAAAAAGAAAAAAAAGAAAAAAAAAAGAAAATCATTTGATGGAATGCACCACGTCAGTAGAACAAAGAAAAATAGCCACATAAATATCCCAATAGATGCAGAAAGAGCATTTTACAAACCCAATGCCCATTATTGATAAAACCACCACAACAACAACACTCAACAAACCTGGAATAGAAGGTAGCTTTTTCATCATAATAAAGGATATCTATGGAAACCCTACATGTAACATAATACTTAAAGATCAAAGACTGAATGCTTTCCCCTTAAGATCAGGAACAAGACGTGAATGTCTGCTTTTTTCAATTCCATTTAGCATACTAGTGAAGGTTCTACTAAGGGCAATTAGATGGAAAAAAATAGCATTCAAATTTGAAAAGAAGAAAAATTGTCTCAATATACAGGTGACATGATCTCGTATATAGAAAAATCTTATGAAATTCACAAGAGAACTATTAGGGATAATAAATGAATTTAGCAAGTGTACAGGATATACAAATATCAGTTGTATTTATTTATACTAGAGATGTAAAATCCAAAATAAAATTAAGAAAACAATTCAATTTATAATTATATTAAAAATAATAAAATGTTTAGGAATAAATTTAACAAAAGAAATGTAAAACTTATACTCTGAAAACTATAAAAACTTATTGAAAAATATTAAAGAAGATTTAAATGAATGGAAAGAAAGCCTGTATTTATGGATTGGAACCCCTCATATTTTAAGATACCAATTCTATTCAAACGGATCTACAGATTCAACACAATCTTAGCTTCCACTTCGGAAGAAATTGATAAGTAAATCCTAAAATTCATGTGGAAATGCAGCGATATCAGAATAGCCAAAACAGTCTTGAATAAGAGAAAAGCTGGAGGACTCACTCCTTCCAGTTTCAAAACTTACTGCAAAAGTAGTGTGGTACAGGCATAAGAAGAGACATATAGATCACTGAAACAGAATTGGGATTCCAGAAATAAACCATTACACATACGGTTAATTGGTCTTTAACAAGGGTGTCAATACAATTCAATGGGGAAACAATTATATTTTTGATAAATGGTGCTAGGACATCCTGATATCTATCCACATACAAAAGAATGAATTTGGACACCTTCCTTACACCAAACACAAAAATACTCATAAACTTAAATGTAAAACCTACAATTATGAAACTCTTTTAGGAAAACTTGGGAGTAATCTTCTTAGATATAATACCAAAAAAAGCACAAGTGACAAATAAATTGGACTTTATAAAAATTAAAATATTTTGTACTTGAAAAGACATCATCAGTGAAAATATTTGGCTATAATTAAAAAGACAGATAATAATAATTGGTGGTAAAATACAGAGATATTAGAATCCTTATGAATTGCTGGTGGGAATTTAAAATGGTGAAGTCAATTGGGAAAATAGTTTGACAGTTCCTCAAAAGGTTAAACATGGAGTTATCACATGACCCAGCAATTTCACTCCTATGTATATACACTGGAGAAATGAAAATGTAGGTCCATACAAAAACTTGTACATGGATATTCATAGTAGCATTATCCATAGTAGCAAAAATGTGTAAAGAACTCAAATTTCTGCCAAATGCTTAATAACTAAATAAAATGTGCTCTATCCATAAAAGAGAATTTTATTACACCATAAAAATGAATGAAATATGGATATATCTTAAAACTTGAATGGATCTTATTATGCTGAGTAAATAAAAGCCTGCTGCAAAAGACCATATATTGTAAGATTCAATTTTTATGAAAGATGTTAACTGGGCAAATGCATAGAAGCAGACAAGTAGCTTAGTGATTCCTTATGGCTGGATAAAGATGAGGAGAAATAAGTGACAACTAATGGCTACAGGATTCCATTTGGTTGTAATGAAAATGTTCTAATATTGATAGTGCTAATGGTTGTACTAGCTGCTAATGATTGTACAGCTCTGTAACTATATGAAAACTATTGAATTATTTACTTTAAATGAGTAAGTTGTAAGCTGCAAAAATTGTATCTCAATAAAGCTATTAACAATTTTTTAAGTCAAATAAGTCAAGAAATAAATAGACTATAAGAATGGTGGGGCCAACTTATCTTATAAAAATCATAATCACCATTGAAGGTCAGAAGAAAAAAAGAGGAAGAAGAAGAGAGGGAACAAGAGGAAAGGAGAGCCCTAGGGAGAGAAGGTGCACCTATTACTCCCAAATAGTAACTTAGGGAAGTGATTCATCCTTTTGTTTTTCTCTGAGGTTCATAGTGAGGCTAGAAGCAAAAGCCGTAATTCATTTCCATTTTCCAAAGTGTGCCTTTGAGCTTATTATTACCTTTGTGCATTAAAGGATCAGCACAAGAAGTCCGCCCATAAATGATGACTTCACGGCACTACCACCGGTGTTCACATACCTGGGTATCAGAAAGTAAATGAAATGTTTGGGGAAAACACAGCGTAGCTTTTCTCAGGGAAAGAATTTGAAAACCATTTTTTTAGGATACAGTATGGACATCCTACTCCAGTATAGCAGAGTGCAAGATAAACTGATCACACTGAGCCAAAATGGGACCCCAGGGAACAATTCCTATCTATCTCTGGAACAAATGTTAAAATGAAAATTGGTCAATAGAATATGGAGACCTAAACAAGACTTTGGTTCATGCTCTTGAGAGGAAGGATGCCTAAAATTATTCTAGACCTGGAGTCATTCACTGGGGTCTCTATTCTCTGAGCCTTGTCACAACTGGATCCTGAATATAATTGTGCACTGCACCCCGCCCTCCACCCTAGAGAATTTCTTTTATTGCTGTTTAAAATTGTGCACAATTAGGCCCATGCATATGCTTCCTGAGAAGCTGTTTACAGTAGCCTCCAGATACCATGGACCTAAAATATGTCTGGATCCAACATAATGAGAACTTCTATGCGAACAGTCCTGTTTGTGTGGCAAGACCTCCTAGGTGTCACTTCTATGAGATACCTTCTACTTCTGTATTTTCTACGGGATTTCTGGTTCTCTCCTCTGCGGTACTAAAGAGAATGACAAGTCTGAGACCCCTTGGGTCTGAAATACTGGTGGTTAGAGTCTGGGGACATCCGACAATAGTGAGGGAGACAGGGCTGAGACTAGAGGGCTTGAAGCAGAAGGAAAGACCTCTGGAAAGGAAAAATGATGCCTGCACCTTAGGTGAATGAGTTAGGAAAAATGACTAACAGCACAGAAAGATGCCCCATCCCTCAGCAAAGAGCACACCTAAGAAGGCCTTGTCATCAGGACCTCTCAGTCCCCATGTGAGAGGCCCTGAACAAGTGCTGCATTTGGTTCTCACACCGGGTCTTGCCCATCTCCCTGTGGTCATGTGAGGAGAGTTCCTTTCCAAGAATTCTACAGTTCTCTTTGTGCACTTCCTCCCTCTTGCCCCCAAATACACATACCCCAATCCCTGACAAGACTGAAGGACCTGCCATGCTGGGCTCTATGGAAAGGCCTCAGACCAATGCTACCCTCTTCCCCATGACCCCAGGAAGAAGACAGACCTGCATGTTTCAGTCAGAGTCCCTTGGCCATGTTCTCTGCTTCCTTGAGCTGAGCTCTTGTGACCCCATTAGCTAATGTGGTACTGCAGGCCTGGTTGGTAGTATATTGGAAGTCAGTAAAAAAAGTTTGTCAAGAACATGTGCTCTGGAGTCAGACTGCTTGATTTTGAACTCCAGCTCTGCTACTTCCTAGCTGAGAGTCTAGCTAAATTGCTTTGCCCCTGTGCACCTAATTTCCACAACTACCTAAAAGAAATAATAACTATACCTACCTAATAGTATTATTATGGTGAGATAATACGTGCAAACTACATAGCATAGTTCTTGACACATAGTAAATGTTCAATTAATCTTAAATATTCATGTTATACATCTGCTAGCAAGTGCCCTGATTCTTGAATACGCTTCATATTTTAATGGTGGTATGTGATCGGATTGATGTGTTTGGAGAAAGTTCTGAAACCATAAACTGGAGAGTTCAGTCCAAATTATTACACTAGTCCCTCTGCTCAGAAGCAATTACGTACATATGAAGCCTGTCTGTTCCCAATTCCAACTACAAAATGCAAACGGGAGGCAAGGGCATAAAGTGTTACATCTGTTGGAGGGCTTGAGGATGTTTTATAGCAGATTAATCAAAGTCATTGAAGTGATTCTTTCTCTAGACATAAGCATTTTGGTCCTTTAATTTCTTGTGAGATACAAACGTGACCAATACTGTAATCTAATTAATTGCTCTCTGCACAAACACTAATTGCAAAGAGATAGTTTAATACTAGCTGTATATGGGGTATTAAGCAGCCAGCTAGTATTTGAAAGGAGAAAGAAAGGAACTCATTTCTTGAAAAGGAAGATGAAAGAATACAAGTAATTGGATTTAAGCTAGTAAAATTCATCAGGATAAAACATATCCTTGTTTTCTTACCTTTTTGATGAGATTGCTGTGTGATTCATGCATCTCATCTTTGCAGGGATATTAGAATTGTGACAAACATCCAGCTGAATATTTTGTTCTGTGAATGAAGGCCAAGAGTATTATTTAAGCTGGGTGTGGAACACATATATTACCAAAGGTTTCATCTACAATATGTGGACTTTAGCCCCTATCCTGGAATAATTTTTAAATAGGGATCTCTCAAACCTGGTTGAGGAATATTTTTCTTATTCCAAGTTTTGTTTGATTTTGCATTTAAACAAAATCTAATACCTAACAGGTGCCTGTCATAATTTCTGACACACAAAGTACTCAATCAATGCTTGCTAAATGAATGAATGAAAAAATGAGAATAACTGGGTGTGGTTAGGAAAGACAGAGCATACATACTATGAAGGGTCAAGAAGATTTTACATATGAATGAAAACATACGTAGTTCACTTTATAAGTAAGCAAAAAGACATTGACTATATGTTATCATTGGAAAGTCTGCAGAAGAATGACTGGCCAACTACACATTTTTATCAGTACCTCTTTCTATTGACAAATGTTATACATTTCAGTTAAAACCTTATGCGTAGTTAAAGGTCAGGCACAGTAGCTCATGTCTATAATCCCAGCGCTTTGGGAGGCTGAGGTGGGAAGATCGCTTGAGGCCAGGAGTTTAAGTGCAGCCTGGGCAACATAGTGATGAGACCCTGTCTCTATAATTTTTTTTTTAACAGCCTTGTGTGGCAGCGTGTGCCTGTTGTCCCAGCTACTCAAGAGGCTGAAAAGCCGGAGAATCTGTTGAGCCCAGGAATTCAAGATTACCGTGAGCCATGATTGTCCCACTGTACTCCAGCCTGGGTGACAGAGGAAGACTCTGTTTCAAAAAAAAAAAAGTAAGACTGCCCTTTGGAGAAAATGCATAAATAAACTGCATGTGTAACTACCTCCAAAGGAAGACTGACCACATTAATTCCACATTTTAAAAGTCTGAAGACTGCTTCCGCAAACAAGGCAACCAATAGATCAGCTTTGCTAGAGGAAGGATGGTGTGATGCCTACAATGTGGGTCTATCTAGGTGGGCAGAATTTGGGAGGACTGAGTGGGGGTTTGTAGCAGTGGTAGAATAGTATGAGGTCACTGAGCGCCGGAAGATGGGAGAAAGGGTCAACTGTGAATTGAAGATTAAGGATGTGGGATGTTGCTGACTTTTAAGTGACTGTCAGCAGGGACACACTATCTTTTCAGTACAGTGAGTGGACATCTTTTGTTACTGTTTCACCTTCTGACCAACAGTGACAGGTGATCGTAGAGCTTCAGCACAAAACAAGTCCTTAGAAATCATTTAAGTTGATCACATTTTTTTTTTTTTTTGAGATGAAGTCTCGCTCTGTCGCCCAGGCTGGAGTGCAGTGGCATGATCTCGGCTCATTGCCAGTTCAGTCTCCTGGGTTCATGCCATTCTCCTGCCTCAGCTTCCCAAATAGCTGGGAACATAGGCATCCGCCACCACGCTAGGCTTATTTTTTGTATTTTTTAGTAGAGACGAGGTTTCACCGTGTTAGCCAGGATGGTCTCGATCTCCTGACCTCATGATCTGCCTGCCTCGGCCTCCCAAAGTGCTGGGATTACAGGTGTGAGCCACAGTGCCGGGCCAATCACCTCATTTTATAGTCACAACTAAGTAATTTGGACAGAGCCATATTTAAGGAACTGCTGATTAGAGCTTCCTGCTGCTGGGCTTTTTCAGTTAATCCACATATGCAAATTATAATCCTGTGCTTTCTTTATTCGTCAAATTTCACAAGTATGAAAATTTAGGATTTCTAAGCTGAGGTGTAAATCACCTAATGTTCACCACTTTGTGGCCCAGTCTAAGCACAGATGGCCACTCTAAAGAAATACACAAGTCTAAGAACCAGAGAAAATGAAGAACAATTATATTATGCAATTATTCAGAAAAAGGCATTAGACACATTCACCATTCTTCTTAAAAATATTTTTTTCTGTAAGTCTTACTCATTATAGTATATCTGCCCCCAGTCTCTCTTCCACTTTCTCTAATTTACTTGAAGTTCTCCAGGCTATGCTGGCTTTAACGATCTCAGTTTCTCAATTCTGCATTGATTTATATCTTTAAGGGGAGAAAAAAATCCTTTTAGTTTTCTAAAAATGGGTTGCAGCACCTAAGTTTCTTTAAATTGTTCTCCTCACCTGTTAGTTCCTACGTGGACAATAAGACCCAATAAGTGCATGGGCAAAGACAAGATTTCTTTAGTAGTCTTGGGAAGAGGAAGAGTCTGTTAAGAATCTTAGGTTACATGATAACCAGTGACATTGATGGCAGAAACATAAGAATAATTTAAATAATGTAGGAAAAGCATATAAAATAATTCAGTACTTAGGTTCAGTTCAAAAATGAAAGGTTTTTGAAAAACTTAAAAGTGAACTTTCTAAGCCATAGATATTTTCAAAAACCTCCATAATGAAGAAACCTTAGAAACATTTTGTTAAAGTTAGGAACATAGCAAATATTTTATTATCACCATTGCTGTTAAGCATAATGTTGGAAGTTCTGACTAATACAGTGAAACCCCCAACAAAGTGCAAAATAGTCTAAGTACTTGAAAATAAGAGATAAAACTGTTGTAATTTGCATATATTATGATCATTTATACAGAAAACTCAAGAGAATAAACAGCCTATTTGATACATTAGATTAAACAATGTTAAGTAAAATACCAACATAAATAAATCAATAATATCCTTATACTGACAATTACTGATTAGAAAATGAACCTAAAAGAAGATAGCATTTATGAAAATAAAAATGCAAAGTATATAGCAATTGACTAACACAAATGTGAGAAATTTTATGGAGAAAATTATGTAGCGTTATTGAAGGACAGAAGAGAACTGAAATAAAGGAGAAAGATACCAGATTTGTGGAAATGAGTGTTAAAAGTTATAGAAGGCCATTGTTTTGGATCAAGCTTCTGTACTAGGCACCAACAGACCAAACTAAAAACCAAAGTGGAATTACGCATGCTCAAGTTTCTAAGGAAAACTAAGTTGTTACCAAACCTTCAGAGAAATCAGGAGCCAGAGATAGCCAATTTCCTAATGAGACCAGTTTAAATCATCAATCTGTATAGTAATAAAATTATCTTGTCTTAAATTCTTACACAAATATAGTAGCCTGAAGTAACCTGATGTTAACCTATCAATTATTTTTCTATTGTTCTTTCTCCTTGTTCCTGCCTTACAAGGAAAGTATAATAACTTTGAAATAATCTGTCTGCTTTTTGTTGTTTCTTCATTCTTCAGTCCTTTTTCTGTCTATAAAGCCATCCACCTCTGCTGGATTCATTGAAACGCTTATTCTATTTTACAGAATGAAGTGATACCCAATTCTAAAATTGTATTAAAGCCAATTGAGATTTTTAAACTAAATGTGTGTAATTTTGTTTTTTGAACGAGGATTTAATATTGGAAATCTCTATTCTTCCCAAGCTAATCCAAATATTTAGTACAACTCCAACTGAAACTTGAGGGAGTGGGTAGGTGGAATTACACAATATGATTATAAAATGCACGTAAAAAAGTAAAGATTCATGAAGAGCTGAAAAATATTCTCAAAAAATGTGCGATATGCTAAAACATATTGCAAAGCCAAAGTAATTAAAACAGTGTAGAAATGGGTCACAGAGAGAGAAACAGACAAAGAGAACAGTCTGGAGAATCCAAAAATATACTCATATATATAAAACTTCCTGTTTGATAAAGAAGACAATATAGGGCAGCAGGAAGGAGATTGATAAGCAAGGTCAAGGTGCTTGTTTTCAATATGGAGAAGACTAAAACCAAATTATATCTGAAAGAGTAAATAAAAATAATTTCCTGGTAGTTTAAAAATAAAGATATTAAAGGTAAAACTTCAAAATCGTTTGAAGAAAACATACAATGGAGAAGGAAAATAATTTCTTGAACAAAACCTCAAAAGCAAAAATAAAATAAAATAAATAAAATAAAATAAAATAAAATGAAACAGTTAGTGGATTTGAAGGTGTCAAAATTAAGTGGTAACTGGATATCCGTACACAGGAGAATGAATCTAGACTCCCACCTCTCACCCTATACAAAAATCAGGTCAAAATGGATCAAAGACCTAAATGTATGACCTGAAACTATAAAACTTCTAGAAGACAAAACCGGGGAAATGCTTCAGGACATTGGTCTGAAAAAAGATTTTATGAGTAAGACCTGGAAAACACAGGGAACAAAAACAAAAATAAACAAATGAGATTATATCAAACTAAAAACCTTCTTCACTGCAAAGGAAGCAATCCACAGAGTGAAAAGACAATCTACAAAATGGGAGAAAGTATTTGTGTTAATATCCAGAATATACAAGAAGCTCAAACATCTCAACAGCAAAAAAACTCCAAATAATCCAATTTAAAAATGGACAAAGAGGCTGGGTATGGTGGTTGATGCCTGTAATTCCAGCACTTTGGGAGGCTGAGTTGGGTGGATCATTTGAGGTCAGGAGTTTGAGACTAACCTTGCCAATATGATGAAACCCTGTCTCTACTGAAAATAGAAAACATTAGGTGGGCATGGTGGTGGGCACCTGTAATCCCAGCTACTCAGAAGGTTGAGGCAGGAGAATCACTTGAACCTGGGACGCTGAGGTTGCAGTGAGCCGAGATCACACCACTGTACTCCAGCCTGGGCAACAAGAGCAAAACTTCGTCTCAAAAAAAAATAAATAAAAATTGACAAATCATCTGAATAGACATTTCTCAAAAGAAGACATCGATATGGCCAATAAATATATGAAAAAATGCTCAACATCACTAATCATCAGGGAAATGAAAATGAAAATCACAGTCATTTTATACCAGTCATCACAGTGTCATTTTATACCAGTCACCACAGTGTCATTTTATACCAGTCAGGATGGCTATCATCAGAAAGAAAAAAAAAAAATGCTGGTGAGGTTATGGAGAAAATCAAACTCATACACTGTTCATAGGAATTTAAACTAGTTAAGCCATGATGAAGAACAGTATGGAGGTTCCTCAAAA